CCCCGACTTTTAATCATCACCAAATATGAAAGTGGATGTAAATTGTTTCCGCAACTCATTAAAACGTCTCATAATGATAAAACATTTTCTTGACTGTTTTTCTACTTATTTATATTCTTTAGCAATAGCTATCATTTGCTTGGAGGTTAAGGAGGATCAAAGGTTCTCTTAAACACAAAGGCATCACATTTTTAAATGTCCTGTTTTGATTAGGATGTTTCTTCTGACTGCAAGTAACCTTTTGAGTAGCAAAGTCACATTGCTGACTGGATTCTGGTCAGTTAAGGATGATAACAAGGAGACCTTCCAACTTCATCACGAAAGACACATGGTAAAACATATCTGTAGATACAGACAAGAAACTGGTCATCATCAGCTATTGCAACAATTTCATTTCTGTAATGCAAATCAAGATTTTTTTTAATCATAAGGTAGAGGCCCATACTATTCTTTTTTTCCAAAACCAATACTCATTTTAGATAATTTAATAATTTTATATCATGCTTTTTAAAGATGCTAATCTAATTTCTTATCAATAACAAAATGGTTGAATAAAAAAATAAAATGTTTCTATTACCATAGTGCATCCAAATATAGATGAAAACTAATAACCATAAAAAATGCTTTTTCTGAATGGACTAGAATTAGATCTGACAGACACCTGTTAGGTCACCAGGATAAGAGATTACCCCATAATCAGAAAAATCACAGTAGGAAGAAGGGAAGAATTGTGCCAAACAGTAGAGCTTGGTCAAGACGTGGATTGTGACAGATTGCTACTATAATGATATATATATATATATATATATATATATATATATATATATATATATATCATTATTATTTATATCATTATTATACAAAATATATACAATATATATACTCAACTTATCCATCTAAAGGATCAGCTGAGTATTTTTTTGTATTTACTAGTAATAAATGTATTATTTGTCACAGCTTTTAAATACCTGGTTTGATTTAACCCAGGCTAACCCAGGATTTAACTGAGACATATTTAACACATCATAGAGGCACCTTTTCTTCATGTAAAGCCCAAATAAAATACACACAATGGTAAGACTCTTCAAATGGTGGCCTGTGATTTATATGGATCTCCCTGGCGTTTATAGATGTGTGGTCAAGCGTCAAGGGTCTAAGTGATTCCTTGACGTGAGTGGGAATTTCCCCTCTCACTTCTTTAGATCTTTTTTTCAACAAGCCACACCAGATAAATCCAACAGGTAGGAAAAATATAAAAAAAAAAACAAAAAAGGGTTTTTTAAAAATAAAATAAAATCACAATTTTTTTCTGCACTCTTCTATGTTTCAAACCCCAAAAGAGACATTCAATAACCAGTTGTACATTTTTAAGGAAAAAAGGTGTAAAAATGTGACAAATCAAATTCAATTCTGGAGCCCAAACAGCAAATGTTGGCGGTTACTGTTGCCACCACTTTCAGGCACCAGCGGTTTTCACTGGAATGAACTAATACCCCATAAACCCTTGCAAGACCCTATATTATCAACCAAGCTTCAGCTTATTGCTCACAGGTCCCTGGCATGCTCCAGGTGTCACCACAAAGTACACCAGGTGCTTGTAAACACAGCTTGTAAAAAAAAAGAAGGAAAAAAAAAGGAAAAAACCTTTTAAAGGGTTAATGTTTCCTCCAAGGATCAGAGGCAGTGCAGGAATGATGAGGGTGCATCTGGAGAGGTACCTGGATGAACTAAACCAAAGCATTCCTGGCTCCCTGCAGCTGTCCCAGACCTGAGACAAGGCATCATTTACCCATCCCTGTCAGAGTAGAAAGAACGATAAGAGCACTTAGATTCTTCATCAACAGTTAGCTAAAAAAAATGAGCTCACTTTAAACAGGTGATGCTAAAAAGTGTAGGAAGTATGAGGTTGATTCATAATACAAAGATGGGGGTGCATGTCTGTTTCTTTCTAAAATTTTGAGGGCCCAAGAGATGCATAAACAGTGAAGAGATCCAATCAACCTCTGTGTTAACAGCCTCCACAAAGCTGTTCTGTGGAGGCTGCATTGATTAGTGGTAAAAAAGCATAATTAAGGCTGGTAACACAACACATCGTCAACGATCAGAGTTGGATTTGTTAAGAGACCATGATACTTTTGAAAGAGACGCACAACTCAGGTGGGAGAATATGTCAACAAAACAACAATCAAGCCATATGCCAATACTCACATTGTCTCTCAGTTGAGCATTCCTATTGATGGGTGATGATTGATTTGGCACACCCTTTTTTGCCCTTCACTGACACTTCAGCTGAGCATACATCTAAGCAGCTTTCGTGGAAGTCAGTTCATTAATGCATGTAACGATTTGAGCAAAAAGAATGATGTGGGTACTGGGACATGGCCATAGGCTTGCACTCCACAAATATGGGCTACATGGAAAAGCGTGTTAAAGAAAAATCAACAGCTCAAAGAAAGCAATAAAAAAGGCCACCTGCAGATTGCCACAACCATATTGGGAACACAGCAAACATGTTCAAGAAGTTCTCAAATTACAACATTTTGACATTCATGGTGAAAGAATGTATGATAAAAAAATTCAATAGATAGCCCTGAAAAAACCACCTCCGCAGCAAATCATGTTTTCATGTCTTCAGCAGTGTTTGGGTTTGTTGAGGTTTGTAGAGGGACCCCCTCCAAGCAAGGTGCCTGATGTTAAAGCAGAGGGTCTAGGTTGTGACAACAAAAAAATGTATCTGGAGGATGGCAGGGAGGATGACGATGCAAAGGGGTCTCTGTAGAGGAGGCGCCTGTGGCACAGGAACCTTGGACGCTATACTTGCAACAGTACTGACCCACGAAGAGGTGCCGCTGAGGACTCGCCAAGAGGCGCTGCAGATGGCTTCCAAGGCTTTCTCTAAAAGTCTTGGAAATGAAAAGTGCCCTCGGAGGGGCCTTGGAGAGAAAATTTTACAGTTACAGTCTCTTGATGGTGCACAGTGAGATCAGGGGTCTTTAGACCAGCGACTCCTAGCAGGCTCGTGGGTCTCTAGACAGGGGCCACTGTGAAGCTCCGGCTCAGGAGAGGGGCTACTAAGAGGCCCTAATTCTGTAGAGGGCTCAGTAATCTCTGAAGAAGGCCTATTAAAAGGTTCAGACTTGGACATTGGCCCATTAAAGGGCCATGACACGGGGACAGACCTATGAAGGGATTTTGACTCTTGAATGGACCCACCTCTACTGTGGGTGACTGGGAAGCTGCTACTGGATCTTCTATGGGCAACTGAAAGGCAGTTACAGAATGACAAATAAGACTATAGAATATGAAACAGAAAGATCAAAAGAGAAAATTAGAGGATGGGGAAGGGCCTGGAGAAATTTAAATAACTAATATGCAATGGGAAAACATAACCTAATAACAAAAAAACATATATTAGAGTAAACTACTGCAGGAAATAAATAAATAACTAAATTAAACACAAAGGAAGCTAAACTAAGCAGTAATTCAAAATTATATATATCTTTACAGCAAAAACAGAATAAATGAAGATCAAAATGTTACTGTAAAGCCGAACAGAAAACTTGAAAAGAACTAAAAAGCCCAGAAATCAGATCATGACAAGCAGCAAGTTGCTCAGAGTTGATGGGACGAGGGGATGGAGCAAAATACAGGGAGAACCATTATTCACTGTGAAAAAAAAAAAGAAAATCAGTGTGCAAAAACATTTAAGATTGACGTTGGTTTCCAGTAGATCAGGACCTTCTCCATCCAATCTGCCTAAGCTACAGTACTAGGCAAAATAGAATGGCCTTTCCATGGAAATACTGACTGAATATATATCACATAAAAAACATGTTTTGTTGGTTTACAAAATTATACAAATTACATATATCAACTATGGTAAATTAAGAAAATATGATAGTATTCAGCGGGTGTGAATAGTTTTTGCAACAATCTGTATCTTTGATCAAATTCAGCTTCCCATTAATTAGAACATTTGAACAAAGGTACAGTACCCATATTAAAGTTAATGGAAAGTGAGTGAGGGAATGCAAAATAAAACCTGATGCTGTTTTCTCTAAAAAGTCTATTTCTTGCTCTATTTAAGTAAGGACATATGATACTAACATATTAATGTATGCTCTCCCCATGATCGATTGGGATAAAATGGTGTAGTTATCATTTATTTATTCTTTAATGGATGGTTTAAATTTGAGCTATATCTCACCAAAGCCTTACCGTGTCTTTTTGGCTTATACCTAATTACAAAAGCCATAGAAATAATCTATGTACAAGTATGGATTAGATCTTAACTTTTAACTGTCTGGTTGAGCAAATGAAGGTTGGGGTTGACAAGGAAGTTAAAGGGTTGATCTAGTTTTCCGGCAAATACCTGCATGGTTTGCAGTAATGAACAAGATTCACATCATTCATATCGGCAACTGTATCAAGGTGTCTTTGAAGGTGTAAGCCTGCAAATGGAAGACGCAAGATAAAAGAGATCATTATCTCATTCAATCGACGTCTATTCAGAACGCTTTGAGGTGACCTTAAAAACAAACCTGTCATGGCAGCAGCTGTTATTTTCTTATGCAGATAAAAAGCAGACCACGTGGCATTTGTTTGAAATCACTAAGTGGGTTAGAGAGCCCACTTAAGAAGAGCTGAGAAACAGGCTTTATTTCCTTTAGTAAACAACACTTGGTGGGATCAGGATAGAGTGTCACATTTAGAAAAGAAAAAGGTTTTCATTGATGTATGTAGCAGGGCAGACATAAAACAAGAAGGTTTAGACTCTGATGTGCTGCAGGTGTTTTTGTGCTACAGAATTTGCATAATATCAAGAACCTACATTGTACACATCCTTTTAGCGAGGGGAAGACGGCAACATTATATCTTGCCATGTCCTTTAAGATCTTACCTCAATGTCCTTATAAGGCAGAGAGGTCTTTGATGGTGAAACAGAGACAGCTTTAATGTTTCTAACCCAGACTCTTGTCCCCCTCTTTTTTGTTTTTCAGGCTTGATGGAAATCCGATCCGTCAGTGTGGGAGTTGTTGCCATCAAATCTGTCAGTACTGGGCTGTACTTAGCCATGTCCAAGAGAGGCACACTCTTTGGATCGGTGCGTATCCAACTTTATGATATTGTTTCTTGAAGTCAATACTTCAAATTCTGGCCAAAGGGAGTGTGAGATGAGTAAACAAGAAAGATTTCAGGAAAATCCTCCATGAGATAATCCAAACAGAGGTCAGAATGTTGCTTTCAATGACAGCTATACACCTGGTGCACTACTGACAATACCTGCAGCCATACCCAGCTTTACACTTTTAAAATAGATGAAAAGGAAAAAAAAAAAACGTCATGTAGGGACAAAGACCAAGCTGCGCTCATTCACATTTTTCTGTGGAATCTTCTCTTTGTTACTTTAACATCACAAATTTAGAAAAAATAATCACCTCTCATTGATAAAATCTGACACTAAATGTGTGATGACAACTACAGCCACTTACATATTGAAAGAAATACCAGACAACAAATAGAAAAGAATTGAATTAGAATAGAATTCAACTTTATTGTCACGAGTACAAAGCAAGGAAATGTGGTTTGCATCTATCCAGACGTGCTATACAGGATATAAATATTATTACAGGTGTATGTACAAGCAAAAAGTAATAGTTAGGGACTGTAAAAGGTTGTGTATAAATATAAATAAAAATACGAATATGGGAGCTACATGCACAGATTATACATATTATACAGAATATACAGCAATGTTAGGAAAATGATTATATATGTATTAGGTGGTTTGTAATACAAGATAAATAATGGCAGATAATTACTGGTGAAACATAACACCCTAATCACTACTGTAAAACCTTTCATGAAATAAAATACATTGAGAATCCAGAGATCACAAGAAAATTATGGAAGGTTTGGATTAACCTGGTATTTTTGTACCTTATTTTAACAGTATAATGATAATCTGGAACATAGCATCAAAAAGTCTCGCAACTAAATATCTTAATAAGAAAAACTTCTATTTTAAGAAGATGGTAAATAAAAAGAAAATGCTAATTCTGACCACTGACAAAAACAGATTTGTCAGAAGTTTTCAAATGTTTGAATACATTTAGCATTCACTTTCAGGAAAATCCTATCATATTTGTCAACACTATTGGAAATCAGGCATTCATATTGCAGCATGAATGTGCTGAAGACTAAATTGTTGCGATATACGTTAACCTTTAGCAATAAGCAGAAGATGAATTACTGAGAAGGGTCACAAAAACAGAAAGTATCCAGTTCCAAGGAAGACAATTGCTTGTTGATGCTTGTTACTTAAGCAGGGCGTACACTGTGCGATTTTCAGGGAGAGAATTTCGTGCGAGAATTTTTCGATCAGGCCAACTTTTAGCCTGATTGTGCGTCGTGTAGTGTACAGGGGGTTATGAGCTGTGATCAGCCTCTCACGACCACCTCTCGATCAGGAATCGTGAGGTCGGGAGAAAATCAAACATGTTTGAATAAACTGAGCAATTTGCCCACGACGGGCAAATCGCTCAGTGGGCATGCGTAAATAAGGACTCTTTTTTTTCTTCTTCCTCTCAGATGTAAACACGTCAGCATGGCAGGGATGCAATGAGTGAAATGGAGTTCTTTCTGTAAAATTGACAGACCGTAGTAGCCACGTTTGCTCAGCCATGTCTTTGTCCAAATATGTTGTCACCTTTTCTTTTTAGGGCTTTCAGCACAAACTTGCACAAATTTCCAAGGCAGCGCGTTCCTCTAGTGAGCTTCATATTCCTCTTCTACTCAAAAGGCTTCCGGATAAACAAGTCAGACCAGCACCATCTCAATGCGGAGCTGAGTCCGACGTAGTTTTTAGACGTACAGTGTGAGCAAGTAGATCGCGTTGGGCCGAACATAAATCGTGAGCTGTGAACTCAGGGTTTCGTCATACAGTGTGAGCAGTAGCAGTGTGCAACGGTTGAAAAAAATCGCACAGTGTACGCCCAGCTTTACTGAAATCAGGGTGAGCAAATTCTTAAATTACATGTTAGGTCCACTTCTATTTTTTAACAGAAAAATCAAATCCCTACAGTCTGATTAACTCAACAAAATCTATATCAGCCTTGGATTGGTAATCTGTTATACCAGGCATTTGCTCGGTGGACCGGTCCTAATTTCAGCGTGTGAGGGCCGACCCTCCTAAAATCATACCAGCTCCCTGGCTGTAGCACCTACCTGTGACAGTAAATAACCCAAGGAGCTCAAGAAGTAACACAATGTTAACTACCTAAACCAGGGGTGTCAAACTGGTTCCAGAAAGGGCTGTGTGGCTGCAGGTTTTCTTTCCAAACCAAGCAATAGCACACCAGACTCCCGTCATCTCATCAAGTGAGTTCAGCATTAACATGATGACATGATGATTGACTGGTGACATAAAGGTATTTTGGGCATATCAATTGAGCATTTTTTAACTACAGCCAATATCTACCACTTTATGACCATTGCTCTTGTCTTCTGTAGGGCTATGCTTGATGTCACAAAGCTTCAAATGACTGTGAAGTAGTTTATTTAGTATAAAAAATGGTTCTCAAAAATTCAGTAGCCTCAGCAGTCAGCAGTTTTTTATCAAATACAACAAATGTTTAATGCTTTTGCGTGAACATAGATCATAATAATTAAAAATTGTTTGTTTCTGACACCTTGCTAAATCCATGCCCCAACAAATTAGGCAAAGTCTCAAGTCAAAAGAGGGTTCCATCCCTTTCTGGCAAGATGAAACTAACAAAGTCACCAGTGAGCTTAGAAAATGTTTGCTTCATTTATTATGGTCAATGTTGGGGCATGTGTTCATTTTTAATAAAGAAAATATTATTTGAGGTAGAAAAAAAGCCATTAAAATCTGTCAGTGCAATTATAGACTCTCTTATTTAGACTACAAAGAAGCTAACCTTTTATGGCAGAGCATGAAAATCTGTCAGCTTTAAAAAGTATTGTAATGTAATATAAATCCTTTTATTGTCTCACAATGTGGAAATTCACTCTCTGCATTTAACCCATCCCGTTGGGGAGCAGTGGGCTGCCATTTTGTGGAGCCCGGGGAGCAGTATGGGGTTAGGGTGTTGCTCAGGAACTCGGAGTGCAGGCTTTGGGGATCGAACCGGGTTCTGGTAACCTTCTCAGAGCACAAGCACACTGCTAGAACCACTAGGTCAACGCTCCCCTGTAGTGTTGTATGTAGACCTTCCTCTTACAATATCATTTATACGTCTCCATTCTTTGTCTGACTGTAGGTGAAGTACAGCCCAAGCTGCAAGTTCAAAGAACGCATTGAGGAGAACGGCTACAACACCTACGCCTCACTTCGTTGGAAGCATGGTGGCAGGCAGATGTTTGTTTCTCTAAATGGACGAGGGAAACCACGGCGAGGTCACAAGGCTCGACGAAGGCACCCATCCACTCACTTCCTGCCGATGCTTCCCTCTTAGGCGTGTCCGAGTCAGAACTCTTATCGGCAGCTGCTTGGCTCACCAGTCCTCTTGAGTTGATGCCGATCTAGATGAGACAACAATCTTTCCTCTTTATTTATCCATCCTCATGTTACATAAATGTACATTTGCTGAGGTCTGTAACATTTTAGACTTAGAGTATCTGCTTATTAAGTTATTCTCTACATTTTCTGATGAGGTTAATATAATACAGTGCAGTCTGAAACTAAATATATTGCATTTTCTCTGCAACTTTCCCACTTATAAGTGTATGTGAACTGCACTGAAATATGTGAGACCTAATTACTGTCAAAAGTATTAAAACAAAAGCGATTATGATATTGCTTTAAATCAGAGAGGAAGGAGAAGACATTGGAGTTTTACTGTTTTTTTTTATTAAGAAGATTTCAAGATGTTTCTTAAACCAAACATATTTAGTAATTCAGTTCAAAAATCAATCAGATATTTTCCACCTACATTAAAACAAACCAACATTCAAAACAATTTTAGCTTCCATCTTAGGAAATGTTAATTTCTTTAAGCCAAATTAAGAGATAAAAAACAAGTAAAACACTTAAAGTAAAAACTAAAATATGTAATGAATATTTTGCATAAAAATGTTTCATAAGGTACAAAGTACATTTACATATGGCACATTTTATAATCTGGATTCTTTCAGTAAACAAATCTACAACCTAATGAACTTCCCATGGTTTAATTTATTTCCCACTTTCAAACCCAAAATAAGATATAAAAAGTAGATTAAGGGAAATGTTTTAAAATCAGGGTTCAAACTCTGACATTAGGGGTACAGTGCTGGTCATTTGGCCCTTTTATTAGTATTGGCAAAGAGGCAAGAAATGGTATAAAATGGAACTTCTTCAATGGTATTTTTCATCAACCATGAGGTAAATTGGTATTCCCACTTTGACCACTGGGACAACAAACTGGTGTTATGCACTATTCATATATTCATAGTCTAAAGAAAGGATTTTGCCTTTGCGTCACCTAAAATTATCTTAGACGGTTCAGAAGCTCTAAAAACAAGCTTGATTAAAAATGGACAAGACAAAAAAATTAGTCCAAATTAAAGGTACAATAAAAAACCATAAAAGGGAAATAAATAACATGAAAGGTTTGCAAATATTCAAGTTTATGGGAATAAAATTGGCCTGTTTAAACGTACAAATTTGGCTTTATGGATTAATGAAAAGGCAATCAGACCCAGAGCCTTCCGGCCTGAGGTTATTTTCTTTTGCTTACAGTAGGCCTAAGTTAAACTAAAACACACAGCTAGATTTGAATTGAATCTATCATTCATTAATCTTAATTAACCTTTGAACTTAATTTAAAATTTAATTTTTCTCAGTTTAGACACTTGGTCAGTTTGAATTTTTGTCTGATGGTATCTCCATTTCAGTCAATTTAATCATGCAATTTGAGAGAATATAAAACCAAAGTAACTTTAATAACATTTATTAAAGTCAAAAACTTACTTCAATATGTATGAGTATATGACTGTGATAACCTTACATCATGGAGTTAAATATGTTACTTTATGCATGGTTGATTCAAAATGCCATATGGCAAATGGCACCATTTTGCTTTAGAAAATGTCAGGACTAAAATCTGCAAAAGTATAAAATGATGAGGAGGTTAAATGACCAGCAAATGTACCAGAGACTTGCAGAGACTCAAGTCATCAAACTGCTGATATCCTTTAACTTCCTTCGTATGTTTCTGCTCCTTTCTGTCAGATCTGACCTCATTCTCAGCCTTTTGATAATATATTAGAAAGCATGAACATAAAACATGAAGCATGTCATCTGGCTTCTCATACTGAACATGTCAGCAGACACATCAAACCATCATCAACTTTAAACTAAGTACGGTAGTAAATAGTTTGATACATATGGCCTTTCTGTAAGGACTTTCTAACCCTAGACAACACAACTGTTGCTGATAGAACATTTAAAATATTTAATACTATTTTTACTCGTTAACCGTCAAAGTTGATGTATATTGTTATTTTTGCTTTTGTTGTTGGACTTTAAGAAAATACTTGTATACCTTTTTTTTTGTTTGGCTCAGTTTGTATAACAATACTACTACTGGATATTGGTACGTTTGTGATCCGCATACTGTATGTAGCAGTTTTCAGTTATCGGTCGGTTGTATATATACGTTTATTTCATAGAAAACAATCCTAAATTCCATTTAAGCTAAGTCATTTGAGTGCTTTCGTGCAAGATTGGAAAACCCAAATAAAATCTGGAAAATTCATGAGTCACGCTAACTTTCTTATCTCTCCTGTGACTTCTTATCTGGTCTCTGAAACTGACTGTTTAATGTTTACAAGATCCCCATTAGAGATCAAAACTCACTGCAGGAGAATCCTTCACACAGAAGATCTCCTGTTGGATAAAATTTTGTTATATAATTTAAACATGAAGCATCTTTTCAGTTGCAGGTAGCCTGGTGATCTTTCCAGCGAGCAGAGAGGAGTCTCAACAATAAATAGAGCCAGCTTGGGGTGAGCAAGAGCCAACCCTTCCAAAAGGCATGGCAGGCTTTGATACCAGGTGAAAGTCATGCGCAGTGACCAGTTAGACAGATAAATCAAGGCCAGGTTATACCCTTGGCCAAGTAACCAACGCTTATCATTTTCTGTCGGTGGCAACAAGTCTTATTACAGTAAACAATACACAACAAACACAGTCTTAAAAAAATGAAATGTAAGGCTTCTTAGAGTGCTCTCAGTCTGGACTTAATAATGTGGTGTAAAAAAAAACAAGTTTTTAGTCTCCTTGCAGAATTTTCCATGTAGATAGAGCAGAGTAAATAAAAGCTCTTTACCCGAATTTAGTATGGGAACATTTAGTAAAATAATTTGTATGCAAATGTTGTAAAAACTAGGTCCAATTTAAGTGGTATAGGTAACAAACACATTTCATATAATCAGAATACTAACTAACTGAGATAAACACCTTATATATAATAACTACAGAATGGGGGGATTGCACGGTGACACAGTTGGTAGCACGGCAGCTTGATGATTCTGGGTTTGATTCCGGGCCTGGGATCTTTCTGTATGAAGTTTGCATGTTCTCCTCTTGCCAGCGTGGGTTCTCTCCAGGTACTCGGGGTCCAAATACATGACTAGTCTATTGGTTTTTCTAAATCTTCCTTGGGTGTCGGTGCGTGATTGTGTCTCTGTGTTGCCCTATAATAGACTGATGACTTGTCCAGGGTGTACCCTGCCTTTTGCCCAGAGACTGCTGCAGATAGGCAGCCACCACAACTCTGATGGATGAAGATGGATGGACTACAGACTGGTTGAGAGTTTTATCCAAGATAGTTGTATTTTGTTGTGGGGAAAAATAGGCCAATTAGATGTTCTTCTCGGTGGTTACCAAGCAAAGTTAACCTTTTATTGGGCATTCTGTCTATTCCTAATATAACTCCCCTCAGGCGTAAACTAAGAAGGAACATGGATTCTGTTTTGTGGTTACATCAGCTAATCCTCTTTTGATTATACTAAGTAGGTTCTGCCTACACCAGACAGAGGTATTTATCAGAACAAATGAAAAATACTAAAGAAGACACAGCTGTCTGGAACTTATATAACTGAACAGTGGAACTGCCATCAGGAAAACATTAACTATTGTTCCCTGTTTTTCAAACTGAAAGATATTTATTGTTAAAAAGGTTTTTTTGTATTATTATTTATTGATTTTAAGTCCAAAGTTTTTTTAGTTATTGTTTGGTTAGCAGCTTGAGAGATTAATCTAAAATAACAGCTTTAGGTAAACTTTGGCTTTAAAGGTTAAGAATTTAAGTTGCACTAAATGCTAAAGAAAAGGAAATCTAAACTAAGGAATACGATTTCATTAAATATGTGGTAATTTTAAGAGCATTTTTTATTTTCATGTTATAGAAGTCATCATCTGTTTCTGCTTATTGGGAATGTTTAAACCTCAAATACTGTCTGAAAACCTCCTGTAAAAATTATGCACAGAAAATTATCCACATCAGCCTAGTTGATCTTCCTACATGCATTTTAAGATTATGTTGGATTTATATACTTTCACACTTACATATAAACAAATTAATAAATTCCTTTAAACAGAAAAATATAATGAGAAATTGTAGATAAACAAAACCTGCATGGTGGAAAGTAATCTATTTTCCGCTTATATTTGAACTAATTCACCTCTTCTGTTTTTTTATTTCTCTTTTGTAGTCTGTCTATTCTCTCTTCTTCTCACACCATCCAAGAACTTCTCTTTTCTCCTGCTCTTTTGATAGTGACTGACTTTTGGTGCCAAGTACAGGGACAGTAAATGGGGACTGTAATTATCATTGCTCTACCACTGTCCTGTCAGAATCTGCTCTTTGGCAACATTTCTATGGAAGCCCTCATCAAAGGCTTTGGTCTTTGATCTGGAAGCATAAGAAAATACCCTAAACACTGTGCAGAATAAACAAAGAATGTCCTTAAAACATGGTGCTGTGGTACATCTGACAGTTCTTTCCCTACCTCCTTAACGTCACTAGCACAGGTGTCACCATTACATCAGAACAGAAGATATTCAGGCGCAGATTGAACTCATGTTTTGAAAGAAAACACCTGGTAAGGTCCAAGATAGGCTGCAACTTCATGTCTGCACCTACACAGCAGAAGATTCACAGTCTTTAGCAAAAACCTCATTTACAAAACCTAATAGCTTTTCATTGGCATCAAAACTCCACATGACTAATTCTACTCAAATCACCAAAAGCAGGCTTTCTAGAAAAGGATACTCTGAATGTTTTAACCCTCATTTTGCAGCTGAGTGACAGAAGAAAGTAATAATAGAAACCCATTTTGAAGGCCTCAGCCAAAATCTACAGGGGCACAAGTCATGCTGCTTCAGCGACAACAAACCATAGCCTCTGAAACCTTTGAAACCCTGTGTGGTCATTTTTTCCTCTCACAGAGGCTGAAAAGAACTGTGGTGGGTGGGAAAGAAAAAAAAAAGAGCCCTTCGCCACTCATAATACCGATCTTATATATGTAGATGAAAATGGAAGAGTTGGGAGGGGTTTTGAAGGGGAGGTGGTGGTGTCTATCGGACTAAGGCGCAATTTTAAAGCGCTTATTGAATCGCTATTACAGCTCCTGAGACTAATTGTGGCTGTTGTGCGTATCTCGGTGGCCTAGGGGGCTCTGGAGTGGCCCTGTATGCTCTTACTCTGTGGGGTTTTCAAACCGAGTGGCCCTGAAAGAGAATGGGACCACCGTAGATCAATGGCAAACCTTTCACTCTTTCACAGGCCCTTGCTAATCCTTCTCATTTGTCTGCCATTTGTTGAGGCACATTCACAGCTCCCTGAATTTAGGATTAGAGCTTGTTTTGTTACAAAAACAGCCTGAGCCATAACGCTGAATAGATGGACTTAAAGGTGTGCGGCAGATGAGTGGGGATGTGAGTTTTTGATAATAGGTGCATGTATGTTATTTAAGTTAGACTATGATTCAGTTTAGGTAAATATATATTAGGTCATTTTTTATGAGAGATTATTTTTTAATGTTGTTGCAGGTCTATTCTGAGCAGTACACCCCTGGGACCCATGTGTAATACTGTGTTTTACTTTTAAACAATTGTTTAAAAAAGATAAAAAACAAAAACAACACAAAGAAGTACTGTACAAGGAATAAAAATAAAGGAACCTCTGTCCTTTTTTTACTCACCTTGTTCCAGTTGACAGCACACTGTTTAGTTATTTTCAGTTAAGAAGAATTCAGTGGCTACCAAAAGTGTACATATCCCTTAAAAAAAAAAATCCCACCTTTAATTAGAAACAAAAGCGATAAATACTCTTAAAAACTATTTCTACGTATAACATAATGTCTATGCCATCTTTGGCTGAGCCAAGCAGTTTGCTCCCAGATTTACCTTGTTTCTGAATTCTGACTAAATCATTCCAAACCTTTAATTTAGCTTTTTTTAAGTATTTTTTTGTTTCTACTGATTTGACGTAGCTTTAGTTAGTGATAGAAAAGAAGTCAATTTCGTCATCAAGAAAACCATCCCCAAAGCATAATGCCACCATGATGCAGTCATTTGAATCAAATCACTTTAGAGGGGACATCTTTTAAAAATGTCCCTCTCGCCAGTATTACAAATACTTTGCACAATTTTTACATTTCTTATGAATATTGTATATATATTATTATTATCTTATTATATAATATATTATATTATACAATATTGTAATATTGTATGTGTATTTGGATTTTAATATAATTATTTTGAGGCCTAATCAACACAATTTCACAGAAGTTACGTTGTCATGATAACGTCAAAAGGAGTAAAGATGTATCACGCTCGCGACAGCAGACTGGTAACTTTACATAATCTAATAACAGAAACACATTTAGAATTTTTTTGGAAAACCACCACCAGTGAAGAAGAACACTGGTACCGTAACTTCTCACCCACCTCTGATGGCATCAGCGGGGCCAGCCCCAGCACCCACAACCCAACCTAGCATGAGTGGATTAGACAAACCCTTCCAACTAGTTTGACATTTCCTGCACAGCATTGTGGTAAGGAAACTTTCTCTCGCTCTGTGGTACTGGCTTGGTTTGCTAGATGGCTGCATTATGTGGAAGAGACTGATCATACTTTGTGTTTCGTTTGGCTGAAGCAGTCAGAAAAAGTCATACCTAGAGACAAATTTAAGAAAGACAACCCTTTCATGAATGCCGACTATTCAAATTGGCTTAAAGCCACAGATTTTTTTTTTGTATTGTGAAGTTTAATTAATAGCTCATTTACTGTATTTACTTGAGAACTGATTAATGTGATTAATGATGTCTGTGTGTTAACTTAAAGTATTAAATCTCAATCTATTTATATATTTTTATTTATTGTATTTTAAATAGGCCTAGAGGCTCATAGGTCTTTTGTCCAAAAAAAAACAAAACAAACAAAAAAAAATTCACAGAACCCCCTGATCACAATTACTTCCAGCAGCCCTGAATGAGAGCCTCTCTGTCTGGGGTTAAAACTTTATCACTCTGTGGCTCTCATCAGAGAGATGAGTCTGGCAGGGCGGGGAGTCATTTGTTCCATCAACAATGAGATGATACAGCCTTTTTCTATCCCTGGTACATCGACACAGAGAACTGCAGCTGAGAAGGGATTAACATTGCTCATTAGTGCAAAGGATAATAACTGTGACCACAAGTGAGGATATATTTTATTAAACCAAATGGTTACAAACAGTTTC